TAGCAGCGTATACCCACCCACTCAACTAATTTCGTCATCAAAAGACTCTCGAGCATTTATCTGAGGAATGACTACACTATGGGAATTATTTATAAAATGCTACCCAACCCATTTTTATTGTTCCATCAAATCTGGCGAGTGAGGGCAGTACTCAGAAAAGTTTATTAATGGATTCTGGAGCATCTCAAATAAGGATTGCACTTTTATAAGTACTTTTGGACTGTTTACACTGGCACTATTGTAATGCACTTTATCATGCTGATTTGACGCATTTAAACAAGGGCACTTTGTAATTTGTTTTATTAATTCATTTTTTTACTTTGTTTATTGAATTTGGGATCTTTAGAGTAGTTATATTAGCACAGAGTGATTGTGGATTTTATAGATGTGTGTGGTGCATTGTATACACCTGCTGCTTTATTAGGATAATTTAATTTAGGTGGGTAGGATTAAGCCTAGGAGCGCAGATATGAGAAAAGTAATATTTAGGCCTCATTCACACTAGAAGCGGCCAGCACATACAGCTCCGTGCTGCATGCACGGCCGTATCGGGCAGCTCCTGGGAAGGACAGGTGCTGCATGTGATTAGTATGCAGCTCCTCTCCTTCTCTATGGGACTACGCGGCCGTATGCCGCCCTACGCTCACCTGCCCTGCACGTCCCTGCGGGTGAGCGTACTCGTACACTGACTGGATGGATCCTGTCTGCGCCCGAGCCGGGACAACTGCACCCGTACAGTCTAAAGACCCCGCTGGGTCCATCTTGACTGACCCTGCAGCTAAAATGTCTAGAACACTTACCTATGGCCTCGCATTTCTGCAACAATGGCCTGACAGATACCATTAGACAAATCTCCAGGATGATTCTCCTGTCTGTCCACAAGCGAAGGATCTTTTGGTTGAAATGCTGGTCTGCAGAGCTTCCATGCAGAAAGAATCCTTTTCAATTAACCCTTGAAATCATCATAACCAAGGGTTCACTTCCTGCTCTTGTTTTTTGTTACATTCTTTGTAGTTAAGGAACGCCAATGCCGTCCCCTCCGTCTTATATTTTATAAATATACATATTTATAGTTGCGAGGATCTCCTCAAAGATGGACATCTATTCTCGCTGTTCTAGATCAACTCCTTTCTCAGGGGGTCAAAGTCCTCCTTCCAGAGCCAGATACATTTCAGGGATTCTACTCCAACCTGTTTGCTATCTCCAAAGCATGCGGAAGACCTCTCTATTCTTGAATTCAAGATTCTCGATGGCTTCCTGTATGGATTCTACCCACTGAGATACTTGGAGAACCTTCACCTTACAGAGCAGTTGGCGCAAGCCTTACCATTCAACATTAGGCAATTCAAACCCTGCAAAGTTTCAGATTGGTCCTGAATCTCCAGAAGTCAGTGCTGGAACTCTCTCATAGCTTGGAGTACATGAGCAGAACCTTGGCCATGGCCCTATCCAGGGTCTTCCTTTCCTCAGAAATTATCTGATCTTTCTTTGTGATCCAGGGGTCGCCTGACCATTCACTTTTGCATAATTGTTATAGGCTTGATGGTGGCCTACTTTAAGGTAGTCTCCTATGCTCACTTTTACTCTAGGCCCTTGTCGCTGAACATTCTAACAAACAGTTCATTCCCTGGACCTACCCATTCATCTATCCAGCAAGGCCAGGTTGGTGGGTTTCCATCCCAGTGCTGGAATAGGGGAAATCATTCCTGTCATTGGTCTGGAAGGTGCTCATGATGGATGCCCACATGTTAGCCTGGGGAGGAGACCTGAAATACCTCTCAGTTCAAGGGACATGGTTAGTGGAAGATTCTTGACTCCGGATCAAAATCTTTGAGTTTTGGGTGATTTGGTTGTCCCTTCAATGACAGACCCCTCAGTTACAGGACATTTGACCATCATTCAATTAGATTAACCATTAGGAAGGCACTGGAAGTCACGCATCTCAAAAAGACAGCAGACCTTAATCTGGTGTGACTTCATGTCCCTGCTCTGTCTGCTGTAAACACTCCAAGCAGGGATAATTTGCAGGTGGACTTCAGTCGACATCTGGACCGTAAAAAATTTCCCCTTCAACCAGTGATGTTTTGGGTCCTCTGTCACAGGTGTCACTGGACGTAATCCTCCGTGTGTGCAGGTTGAACAATCTGGTCAGGTTTTTCTCCAGGACAAGGGATTCCCTGACCTTTGCAGAGAATGCCTTAGTGACTCAGTGGAATCCATTCAGCTTGATCTATGCCTTTCCCTCCTCTGAAACTCTTGCCTCGCCTCCTTCACAGGAATCTCAACTTCCCGACGAGGCATAGTCAAACTTTTGGCAGACTCTCCATGAGCACTTCCAGATCATCTAGTCCCATGGACCAGTATTCCACCCTGCTTCTCGATCACTGGCTTTAACAGCCTGGCTGTTGCAGCCCAGCCACTGAAGGACAGAGGCCTTTTTGTAGACAGTCTTCCCTATGCTCCTATAAGCTAGAAAGTCAACCTCCTGCAAGGTCTACTATTGCACTTGAAAGGCTTATTTTACCTGATGCAAAGTGAGGAAGTTCCATCCCTGGAAGTACCATCTTTCCTCCACTCTGGCCTAGACTAGCTTTCAGCCTTCAGTGCAGTCAAGGGTCAAATTTCTGCCTTTGGCAATTCTTTTCTAGAGACCGCTTGTCCTTTACTCTCTAGTGAATGCCATTTTGCAGGGTGTGGGCTCATACTGTTTCCCCTATACAGACTCCTGTAACTTAGTCCTGTTGGCTCTGCAGGTGCCGCCCTCTCAAGAGTTAACCTTTGGCCCACCTTACTCACAAGGTTGACTTCCTCATCACCATCACTTCTGCCAGACATATTTATGAATTCATGGGCTTGATCTGTAAAGATCTTTTTATGGTTATCCACAAGGATAAGGTAGTGATGAAGCCTAGGGCCTCCTTCCTTCCTAAGGTGGCCTTTGCCTGCCACCTTAACAGGTGTTTTATCCTGCTCCTAAACATCCTATGGGGGGGTTCTCTCCACTGCTTGGACATGATTCATGTCATTTGGGTGTACCACTCTGCTACAGCTTCCACCCACAAAGTCTGACTCACTCTTTGCCATTCATGAGGGCCCCCATATGGGGCAGCTGGCTTCTTGTTCTACTATATCTGGCTGGATTCAGTGAACTATCATTCAAGCCTTTAAAAGGAGAACTATGGGGTCCAAGCTTTTCTTTACTTTTGGATTCCATAAACATACAATCGTTACTTTAAGATGGTGGGCGGGGCTAAGCGCCGCAGTGGGGAGAGATCCCAACAATACTGTCGGGATCCTCCCAACTGATTGTTCTCACTGTGACTGACGGCGATCCTTGAGAACTGCTGCGCGCCCACGAATACATTGGCATGCGCAGCAGCTCTCTTCCTACCTCCACGTCCCTGTCGTCTGTGCCAGCAAATGACAGCGCGTGCATGGAAGGCTGTTTCTCCTTAGTGCCTCTGCCCCTCCTTCCTCTCTCTCCGTCTTGAGAATGTGCAGCAGTTGTATGGAAACCTGTTCCCCGTAAATCTTAGTTCCCCCTGACATTCAGCTATTACCATATCCCCACCCCTTCCTTACAGCTTAGTATTCACATAGCCCCACCCCCTCTGCAAGCTCTGGTGTTCTATGAGAAAGACGAATGTCTCCTCTCACATTGTGTGCTCTGATCATTCAGCTTCCCCCTCTCCCCACCCCACCGAGGAGCGCGGATGGGGATGAGGAGCGCGGATGGGGATGAGGTGACAGGAAATATCAGATCACAGCAACACAACACAGAGCGGTGACAGGGAGACAAGTAAGAGATTTCCTGTACAGTTGGGGGGTGGGGGGAGCTGAACGATCATAGCACACAATGTGAGAGAGGAGACATTCATCTTTCTCATAGAACACCGGAGCTTGCAGAGAGGGGGCGGGCTATGTAAATATTAGGCTGCTGTAAGGAAGGGGCAGGGTTATGGTAATAGCTGAACAGTCAGGGGGAAGATTTACGGGGAACAGGTTTCCATACAACTGCTGCAAGCATTTGATTACGGAGACAGAGCAGGAGAAAATCGGTGAAGAGAGAGGGAAATACTGGTAAGAGAGAAGGAAAGAGAAGGGAGGCTGAGTCAGCTTGCTGCTTCTCAGTTGAGACTCTGCCTCCTGCTCCCACATTTCAGCGTGCACACTCCAGCCGTGCACAGTGTGCTTGACTAGAGAAAGCGCGGCCACGGCAGATAGAGTTAAGGTGTCCACACACCTTGCGATATTCGCACGATAATCGCTGGAAATCCCGCGATCGTACGATTATCGCATGGTGTGTGGAAGGCGTGCGACCGTTTCTACTGTACGGTCGCATGACTTTTATCTTAGGAACATGTTCTAAATCTCGGCGAGAATCGTACGATTGTCGGCAGGTGTGTGGCATGTTAAATGTCGGCAGGGCCGGTGTGTGATTATCCAAGTCCGATCTGCCTGTCCAAGATGGGCAGATCGTACGTTTTTTAAATTGGCTTCAGGGGTGTGGATTTTTTTTTTTAAAAACTACTTGTCCAGGGGCCAAATCTACGTGTCCTTCATGACAATCCACTTGTGTCTGTGTAGTTCCTGACAGCCGAGACAGGTGGCGCTGTGATTACAGCGCCACGGTATCAGAACACAGAGAGCCCGTAGAGCAGACGTTTTTAGTCTGCTCTATGGGCGCTATAGCTGAGCCGTTGTGCCTTAGTTTTCGGGGTCCCCCGGGAGAGCGGGTGACCCCGAAAACTACGGCGGGGGGTGCTGCGGGTAGAAACGATCGCCGCTGCTCAAATTAATACAAGTGGTCTGATCAGACCACTTGTATTAAACGAGCGGCGGCGGCTCTACAATGTACATTCAGCTCTGCTTGTCCGGAGCCGGGCTGAATGTACTTTAAAACTACTCGCCCGGCGCCTGAAACTGCATGTCCCGGGCCATAGGAATTCCACACCCCTGTACCTTACAAGGTGGCCAGCTTTAGGGGAAAAAAAAGCTGAGGGCGGGGCTGCATTTCCATTTTACACCCCCTAAGAGGAAAGGAGCTTAGAGCATGGCTGCAGTTGGCTGTTTTCTGTGACTTGTGATTAATTTATCTGGGATGTGCTGCGACTTTGGAAAAGAATGCTATTAGAGTAAAAGGCTGCTATTAGAGTAAAAGGCAAGAAGTACTTTTATTTGCACTTAGGTCATAATTCTCCTTAACGTTGGAGGGTAAAAGGCTCACTCTGTTAGAAGTATGTGTTTCTTGGACCTTTATCATGAGGCTTTGGATTTTCAGAGCCTAATGATCCTGGTCCTCTGGTTACACATTTGCCAAGTTGGATGTTCAGGCAAATTCTAGCTTTGGCCTCGAGGTTCTTAAGGCGTGCCTCTTTTGTTGGTTCCTTCTGTTATAGTTCACTGTTGGGCTGCTAGCCACTATTTGCTGTGCCTCTGATGGACTGCTTTTGGACATCCCATTGGTTCCTGAATGAACTCCCTGTGTCCTTTGATGTACTAATAAGAAAACAGGATTTTAATCTTATCTGTACAATTTAGGTTTTTGGAGTAAATCACAGGACCCTCCCTCCTGCTTTTCTGTAATTCACACTTCTATTGCTTGCTACAAAACCGAGACAGGACGGGAGTGGGAGAGGTTATACAGGGCTGTGCTTACAGCTTTAATTTTGCCATTGTACAACCACCTGAAGGAAGCGGCATAATCCATTGGTTCCAGAATTAACTCTCCAAAGAAGGTAGGGACCCCACCCTTTGTCCTAGCTATAGGCAGATATCCCTACTCAATACCGATATCAAACTCTTTGCTAAAATCCTATACCTCCGTCTGGTTCCCCATATAGGAGAGCTTATACACCTAGACCAAACGGGCTTTATACCTACCAGGGAAGCGAGGGAAAAATACTACGCAAGCGCTGGGGTGCTCCACTCGGCCCGGTCGGGCGCCAAACCGTGCGTTTTTATCCACAGACGTGGAGAAGGTGTTCGACCGGTTAGACTGGGAGTTCCTCCGGCTCACCCTTGAGGCGATCGGAGTGGGACTCCGAATGCGCTCTTGGATTAGCTCCCTTTACTCCCATCCGGCTGCCCAAGTACAGGTCAACGGCGCTCTTTCCCCTTCATTCCCCATATGTAACGGCACACGCCAGGGTTGCCCCCTTTCCCCAGTCCTTTTTGTATTGTCCCTGGAGCCTTTCCTACGTACTGTCCGAGCTAACCCAAATATCCGAGGTGTGATGGAGGGGACTAACCATCACAAAATCGCAGCCTTCGCGGATGACCTTTTTTTTTCTTGTCCTCCCCAGATATATCTCTATTCCTGCCCTTCTCCACGAGTTTGGTATTTATGGAGACCTCTCAAATTTTAGAATAAACTCCCATAAATCTGGCACTCCATGTATCCCTTGTGGGACCATGCCTCCAGGAGAGTTCTCCACAACTTTCCCTTTTAAATGGGCACCGACCGCGATTAAATATCTGGGTATACTTCGACCCAAAGATATATCCCAAACATTCACGTTGAACTTCCCTCTGCTGCTGCAGCAGCGCATGACTGCAGACCTTGAGGAGTGGACCAAAAATACCTTCTCGTGGATGGGAAGATGTAGCATACTATAAAGCAGTCTATCCTCCCTAGACTACTCTACCCCCTTCAAGCCCTCCCGATTCTACTCCCCACACCTTTTTTACGTAAAATTTGAGAGCTTTTCACGGGGTTTGTCTGGTCACAGAGACCAGCCAGGCTCAGCTACAATATCCTGTGTAGACCCAAACAACAGGGCGGGATGTTACTGCCAGATGTACGACAGTACTATGTGGAGGCCCACCTGACACGTATAGTAGACTGGTGCCACAACTCCCAAACCAAACTCTGGGTGGACCTGGAACAATCGTTTGCAGATGTCCCTTTTAGCCAGTCTCCCTTGGTGTATCACTTCCTTACCTCCACAATTACAATCCCACCCCACCATTGGCCCCACAGTCAAGATTGCACGGTCCATTTTTAAAGGGAGGTAGGATCTCTCCCTTTCCTTCACCTCTCACTCCCATTTTAGACAATCCGGCATTCCCACCGGGTATAGGTGCCCACACTTACCCGGCGCTACGGAGACTTGGTAAAGATAAGGCCAAACACTTCCTGACTGACAGTACTAGACCCTCAACCAACACTCTCTGCACCAACCCGGATTATGGCCCTCTTGATTTTTGGTCAGCAGTGTGATTGTCCCATTTCCTGCACGTGAACCCTGCAACGCGACACCCCTGTAGATCCCTTACACCATTTGAGCAACTTTGCTCACAAGATAAGCCTTCCCGACACACTCTTTCCCTCTGCCACAGATTGTTGATCCAACCACCAGACCCAGACCACTTGTGGTTTATATCACGATGGGAGGGAGAACTACAGACCAGCTTTACCCTGGAAGCTACGGAGAAGTTACTCACACTCTCATACCGTTCTTTGATTAGTAATAGATACCAAGAGTCGGGCTATAAAATCGTGACTAGATGGTACCGTACTCCACAATCCCTTCACACACTATTCCCTGAGTCACCTGACCTATGTTGGCGCTGCCAACAATCCGGGGCAGGAATGTTACACATCTTCTGCTCCTGCACGGCCCTCCGAAGGTTTTGGGAACAAGTGCGCGCTCTCGCTCAGAAATTTTCGGACGTCCAGGTGCCTGAAGACCCGACCTTCTTTCTCCTCCACCATAACACCATCCTGCTGCGCTCCTATACCCACTCCTTGATCAGACGCGTGGTAAATGCCGCCCGGGCATGTATTCCAGCACTCTGGAAGAAACCCGAAGCCCCCCTCATAAGCCAAGTCCTAGACCGTATCCATGATATATACTATGGGAGATCTCACAAGCTCCATTAAACATACCTCTGCCTCAGTCGCTCGAACCTGGTTCCCCTGGTTGGAATACATTCGGTCCCCTGACTACCTTACCCTCAGATAGGAGAACGCTGACCTGCTCCTGATGGGGAACCTTTATCCCATCTCCTCCCTGCCTTTCCTGTTTCCCCACCCTTTTTAGGTATATGCCCTACTACCATCTCTCTCTTTAGTGACCTAGTAAGTACTGGCCCATTTATGCCGTATCCTTTTTTTTTTTCTTTCCTTTTCCATCACTTAACCCCTTACCAACACAACCTACTCACATTCTACTCACAACCTACTCACATTCACTTGCCTAACACTGTTTTTTTTTGTTGTGCACACTACAAACAACATCTCTTATGCATGCTATTGACAGGATGTCGTTTCACTTAGGGATAGAAGTCCCTCCCTACTAGCTGAGCAGGGGGAACACCCTCCCCTTATTTTTTTCAACGCTTTAAATATCTTATTTTGTTTACTTTGTCATATACATCACAATGCATTTGGTGTATTTTCTTTATGACTGCCCGAGAGAGCAACTATTTGCTAAAAAAAAAGAATGAACTCCGTTTCCTGTGATGTACTCCAAGAAACACATTTTACAGGTATGATTAAATTTTTACCATCTGTAACTATTTAATTTAACTAGTTGATTACAGGTATTTATATAATGCCAAGTACAACATAAAACAGAAGTCATCAACTTGTGCAACTAGATCGATTGTTTATGGACTATATATTGATAGTATCAAAGGAACTCCAGTTATACTGGTAATTAATCCTGAGAAGGTGTGTACTGATCCTTCATGCTGGTTAGTTGGATAGCGAAACATCCATGTAACAGCACTGTGAAGAAAACGTCAAAATTGTTGCACAGATCTAATTGCAGTATAAAAGTGATTGTTTAATAAGATTAAAAGTAATGCACTTACATGATATTAAAAAACATCTCGCCTGTCACGCATCAGATGATAGTCCCATCTCAGCTGCTGGTACAAGATTGTTATCAGGATATAGAGAGAGCAGAGTCATAGTCAGTCCAGAAAGATTCCAGAACGCCTGTGCTGGAAGACGCAGGTCTGATCCAGTGGCTGAGCACTGCTGTGGCTGGTTCTCCTCAAAGCAGGGTCACAGCTGCTGAGTACTTCCGGGTCATCAGGTGTCAGGTGTTGCTAGGCAATGCGTTTCAGAGGTTCACCTCCTTTGTCAAGCCTAAGGGTGGAGGGGGCAGAGTCCTTTATTCAGGGGAAAGGTGGAAGCATTGAGTGCTTTGGCGCCAACTGGTGGGAGGATCCAATAGTGGTAAATTGCTGCCAGGAATGCATCTTAAAAGTGGTCGGCAATAAAAACATAATAGTAATAATATTAAAAACGATTGTGATAAAACAAACCATACAACTATAAAATGATAAAAGACCTATACAGAGCAAGAAGAACATTAGTCAATCATGTGAGATTGACAGCATGAATGTAGATGCATTGTATGCATGTACAATGCGCAAAAGAATCCTTTTAGATTTGGGGCAAAGATATATGTTTAAATTTAGGGGAATTAATGAGGGGATATTTATTAGGAATGTAGGCCACATATATGTCCAGTACGCATAGATGTAAACGCATGAACAAGCGTGAACATCATGTGAACTCTTCGCATTTGAGGAAAAGATAAGGGGGACATAGTGCATGAATATTTATTGCATGTATACAAGTTAATATCAATATAGAAGGCAACATGCATGTGCAACGCACTTAGATGCAAGTGCATATGTATGTGTGTGCATCGCACAAAAGTGCATGATCATAGGATTGTACTGACGTCTAGTATGTAACAGCACTGTGAAGAAAACGTCAAAATTGTTGCACAGATCTAATTGCAGTATAAAAGTGATTGTTTAATAAGATTAAAAGTAATGCACTTACATGATATTAAAAAACATCTCGCCTGTCACGCATCAGATGATAGTCCCATCTCAGCTGCTGGTACAAGATTGTTATCAGGATATAGAGAGAGCAGAGTCCAGTCCAGTCCAGAAAGATTCCAGAACGCCTGTGCTGGAAGACGCAGGTCTGATCCAGTGGCTGAGCACTGCTGTGGCTGGTTCGCCTCAAAGCAGGGTCACAGCTGCTGAGTACTTCCGGGTCATCAGGTGTCAGGTGTTGCTAGGCAATGCGTTTCAGAGGTTCACCTCCTTTGTCAAGCCTAAGGGT